CTATAGCTTAATTAAATAATACAGTTTTAGGCCACTTTCTCAACCGAAACATAATGAAAATACAGATACTGGGACTTGCCATATATTAATTTTTTTAAATCATAAATTAAACTGTCCGACATAAAAGACAACAGAACATGTGAAAAATCGACAATGAAAACACTGATATCACTCCACTCTTATCATATAGGAACTAAATAATAACAGGATCCATCACAAAGTCATTCATGCTTGAAAATATGCATCCAAAAAAATCTTCTTTGAATGTACGCAGTAAGAGCCAATAAGCTCCAATTCAAAGACTGGATTCCCAACAACACTATGGTACATGAGAATGGATGAAGACATAAAATTGCATTTATGGTTCATAATGGAGGGACGAAGCATAAACAAAAGGGTTCAGTTAAAAAAACAACAGAGCAGTCTAATCGAGACACTAACACTATTTCTGCACTGAATGGTTTTGCACAATCTAGGCATCCAGTTATAGAATTATCATTTTACCACTCGGAACAAAATCTCTGCAGAGCCAGGTATGCCTGTGGTATTTTTTGGAGTGACCATTCATTGAATAAAAGCGTACCATATTTTCTTATATTACATACGAGGATACCTTACCAATAGCTTGTACTTTTGGAATTGATGGACTGTATAAAAATTATGAATATTTATATTTGTAAACGAGGTCTCACTTTTACAGGTTTGTTTTCACACAATAACAGTGAGCTCATAATACCTTCAAATTATAAGGGTGTCTTATATTACAACCATTGATAACCACTATCTAAAGAAACTTTTTATGCCTCAAACATGAAGAGCTCGTTCTGTATGTAAAAAATGCCATTTAAAAAGATAATGTTGAAATGAGAACTTTGGATAACCACAGAAAGGATCAATAAAAATCTTTTCTAGGCAAAACATTCAAGTGAAACAGATCACAAACTCTAAAAAACTGCACTGAAATTACTTTCCAAACAATTGTCATGCTATAAATTTTAGCATTGCTAAATTTACATAAGTGATTAATTTTTTCTTTAGCTTGATAATAATAATACCCCAATATATGTTTTGAGCTCTTTACCTATGAACCATTTAAGAACACACTATAATGACTAGGTGCTGACGATTTAACATTTAGGCTATGAATTTATTAAGGCAGCCCTGAATGAACAAATAAATAACCTGGCCTGATTTGAAATACAAGCAAAACAAAACTTTAATTATCAGTGCTTTGCATTGAATGCTACACAAACAAACTTATTCAATAATTATTACCATCAAATATTAAAACACCAGTGCATTCATAAACCAGATGTGCAACATCTATTTTAGTTTTTATAGTAAAGGCAAGTGAGGTCAACTAAGTAGACGCCAAAAAAAAAAAGTATCTTAAGGCATAAGAGATTGATAATCATATTAGCATAGGAAACCATCCTGTTATAACTTAACGTACATTTTACACAAAATCTTAAGAAATGTGCTGCTTCTTAAACATTTAACTTCAACTGTTCTCAAACTAGCTTATACTTGACTTATTTTATATATTCTTCCATCTTGGCGATCTTTTAAAACAAGGTAAGTCACAGAATTTTGTGTATAAAAAAACTAAACCATAAAAAAGCTGCCTCAAAAATTAAAACCTAGCAAATCAATTGTTAAAATTTCCTATGCTTTATTTCTGAGTTTTGAAAGAATAACTTTTTAACGTAGACCTCCTTACACTACACAACCCCCACCAAAAAAAAACAAACCAAAGATTTTATCTGATCATACATACATATTTAATTTGACTAGTGCTTTACAATTTGCAATGTGATGTAACTTTGATTAGCTATTTTACAATATAATAAATCACCATATACACCTTTACACTACTTGTTCATCTTTATTATAATATTTGAAGGTATTGCTTTAAAAAAAAAAATCTGGATTTATCAGGCTTGAATATCTGAATTTATCATATTCAAATGCGCTGGTGAAATATACATGTATAAAAAATGTAGAAAGACTTAATGTAGTAAAATAATTATCACTTTTTAGATTTCCAAAATTTACATAGTAAATGTTCTCTATTTCTTGTGTGTCTCTTAGTATTTTTTTTCAAATTTACTTTTACTTATACTTATACCTACAAAAGTTGTCACATTTAAATACATCAGTAGCCAAGTTCTCAGATATTAAAGTTCATCACAAATATTTTAGACTTAAGTAATAACCCTTTTTCTATCAATGTACCAGACTTAATTAAGAATTAGTAAGGGCTGTCAGTGACTATCACTTAATTTAGTAAAAACAAGTTAGGCTAACTGAGTTATATTTGAAGTTAAATTATGTGAACAGTAACACTACAAATACAAATAAAATTGGTGTATTTTGCTGTGTATTGTTTTGTACAGTAGCAATAAAATCTATTTAACTTCTTGCTTTAATTTTGATATTTCAAGATGCAATAAAGTTTCTTTTTCAATTCTTCAAAGTAGTTTGATCCACATCTGTGTGGTGTCTTATGACGTATCATAACTGACATACATTTTTCCTCGCAACAGTTAACTCTTGGGGGAATTTTTTAAAATATAATCTTGCAATGCCTTTAGGATAGGCTATTACTTCATTTCCTTTGAGTTTTATCTTCCACAAAAAAACTTAATCATTACCGAGTTTCTCCAATACAAGTATCTGACTAAATTGCTAGTAGTGGTTATGTCTATTAATAAAATACAAAAGTATGATAGAATATAACTGAATCAGTCCGTGCACATAAGTAATTGTGATCAAACTGTAGTATTGTGTGTAATTTACATGATTAAAATCTTTTTTCTTTCTTTTTGATAATATTACTATTACACAATCATAACTCACAACAATTTTTGAGATCTTTGTTACATTTTACAAATACAAATTGAATAACAAGCTCCCTTTTTTCCCCCCCAGAAAAAATACAACTAAAACAACTCATTAAGAATAGGCACACTTTTTTTTTGCTAAACCCTTTTGATTGAAAAACCAAGCAGCAATTTGATGAGGTTGTGAAACACAAAATATGAAAGTATTTGTAAATTATTAATATGCAAATAAAATGCAATATTGTAACACATCAATTGAAATCACATCATGATCCATCCAAAGTGTAGCACCAAATCTTGTAAACTCCCAACGGACTTGAAGCTTTGTTGGAGGTAACACTTTTTTGGGGGGTTAAACTAACACAATCCAGACATACGCAACCAGTTTTTGAGGGCCAAGCTAGAAAAGAGCAATCTGAAAACTGGGTCATGTTTTTAGACTGTATAACCCTCACCAGCAGCAAGTTTGATATGACATGCTACAATGGAAATAATATAATTTATGAGAACATTAAAAAAAGAATTTAAAAATTCTGCTTGACCGATTGAATTGTTTTGAAAAATTAGAATCTATACCAATTTCTCTTCGAAAAGTGTTTTATCAATTACAAGTGAATAAACTGATGTATTCAACTAACTTAAAAATTTTACCACAAATTTATTTCAGCGTGGAAAAAATGTGTACTATTTCCCATTTGACCCTAATATAGATGCATATATCTCAATCAACCATTTATACTCAATAAATTAACACAAGTCTAAAAAATTCAACAGAAAGATTAAATTAATCACAAAAATGTTTCTAAAAATATTTCATTACACATTATAATTATAGGTAGTAGTAGTTTTTTTTTAAAATGGACAGTCATTCACAAATAATTTGTCTTTCAAACCAAGTATTAAAAGCCATGGGTAAATTAAGTGTACCAAGAGATAGTATACATTTTTACTGCTATGATTATTAAATTAGTGATTTAATGAAATTCTTATAAACAATGACCAAAGAAAGCATGATACAGTAAATCAGTATTTATCTCTCTAACACTAAATTGTTGGTTTGAATTTCATCAGTCTTTCCTTTAAAGGGGATGCCCAGCTTCTGTCATAACAAATAACATAAAAAGATTGGTTAGTGACAATATTCATATCATATCTAACATGTAGAGTTTCACAGTACACAAAATTAATGAGATTGAAGACAATAAAAAAATTTTTTCTTTATATTACAATAATTTTATTATTATTTAAATTAGTTTAAATATTAAAATTTTACTTTAAAGAAGATGCTGACAATTGAGTTTTGAGAAATACTATATTTAGAGACAAAGATAAAGCAAAACACTCTTTTGGGTTTAAATGTTTTACAGTTCATTAAATATTTGATTCACTTATAATTCACTTTCCAGGAAAAAATAATACTTCTAGTGTGATTTTAGACTTAGAGTTTAGAGCCTCCAAAAATATTAACAAATCGACTCATTCCCAATTAGCTAGCTTCAAAACAAGAACTGAAATAAACATTGAATGATCTTTCTATTATTAATTTTTTTTTTTTAAACGGCTTCTTCAAGGCATAAAAAAAAAAATCACTGAAGCGTGAGAGAAAGATTTTTACAAAAAAATGATCTTCTCTTTAAAGATTTAGAAGAAACAAAATTTAATATTCAATTTTGATAATTAAATGTACACAAAAATGACCGGAGTTTCCAAATGTATAGGCAACTAAGTGAAAGCATAAAGCTGAACAAGGCAAATAACAGATGTATTACAGAGTAGAATTACACATGGCAAACTGATAATCCAAAAAAAATTTGATTACTTCTATGAAATAATTTGTTATTTTTAAATTTTTATTTAATTGAGTCAGTAATTGGCGTGAAAGGAAAATTTAGTGGTTATTAAAAAAGAATGCACTTCTTTTATTAAATAAAATAAAATAATACTTGAATAAGACCTAAAACTTAACAAATAGGCTACTATAATATTACCAACAAAGTAAAAGAATTAAATGGATGGAAAAAAGATTAAGATTATGCATATTTGTTGCGAAAAAATGATTTCCATTATATTACTAATTTACCAACACAGTTACAATGTGCTCCTTTACCGAGATTTTACCAGGTCATCTTATAAAAAGAAATGTTATTTTTAATTAACACCAGCAGCCCCATCACAAATGTTAGTAGTGTCTGCAAATCTAACTGTTTTGATATTATAAAAGACATCAAATTTACTAGATTTTAATTGAAATTTTTTTACAGATAGTTATTCTTGGTAAAGTGTTAATAATCTTCAGCCTAGAGAAGAGCTCAGCAACCTTCAGCAACTCACGACACACCCCAGGCCCTTCCGAGAATTCCAAAAGTAAAAACAAGCAAAAATATACTAAATAACATAGTGCAGTTAGCATTCATAATGGTGTGTAATACTAAAAAGTATAATATTACAGTACATCACCCTATATTAACTTCTATATTGGACACATTTCCGTTACCATTGAAATGGACAGCTTGGTAGTAGGCTAACCAATGTCCCTTTTCTAGCAAAATAGTTATATCATTTTCGCATGCCTACAAATAATCCTCCTTTTCCACTCTTGGGGACATTTTGCGTGGCACACATGGCATCATTTTGCGGTGCACAAGTGTGAGGTTTAAACCGGTTGCAGAGCTCTGGTATAGCGCATAATAATTGAAATTTTCAATATTTAACTTTTTAAAAATACAAGAGTAAATTAAAAATAATGAAAAAGGAAATAAAAAAACCAGCATATTTATGACCTATCACACTGTGCTACTATAGTAATTATGACTTTGATCTGACCCTCTAACCTTGGGATCATTTTGATAACAATATAACATTAATGATTAAAAGAGAAATGGTGTTAAGGCAGCAAAGAAATCCCACAACAAAAATGAACAACATGAAAACATTATTTAAGTGGAGGGTTGATAAAGATATGAAGTGAACACAATCTTTCATTGTAATGTGCAAAACCAATTTTATAAAAGCAAATAGGCTACTTTAAATGGGCTCGTTCATTGCTTAGTACTGATTTTCTTCTATCCAACCTTTTAAAGTTGTGGGTAATGGCAACTGCTGGATATGATCATACCTAGTATACTGCCTAATGACAAAACGACAGAGATATTGCAATGACCGCACTTGCGTAAATCGTGAGACAGGTTTTGTCAAACGTACTGGAAATTGTGGAGCACCGGGTGACCGGGATCTTGAGTAGTAAAAAATCCCTGTTTGTGAGTCATTCATGGAGTGTTCAATTAAGTCAACAATTGAGGGATAACCCTCTGTGTCTGGCTGTGCATAGAAGCTAAACATTCCATTACAGTGTTCTATACGAGTATGTAGAGTGCGGCCATAGGAACGAAATGAGAGGCTGAGAAGATACCTTTCATCAGAACTGTCACGAACAAGAAAAGCACCATCTGGTTGGTTTGTCAATTTATCTTCAGCTTCATTTCGAGTTATTGGGCCCCAGTACCAGCCAAACTTTGATAAACGAAATAGTTCCTGTGTTAAACTCCACACTTTTGGACTCCAAATTTTTGTTTGTTCCTTCACAGGATCATATTCTACACAATCTGCTAGTTCATAAATAGGTTCTGAATGAGAATTTTTTGCATCATCTTTATCTTTGATATTATTGATTGTGACATCTGCACCATCAGAAACAGTATCTACAGAAGAACAGTCATCACAAAGTGGTGATGATGATGCTGGATTAAATCTAGATATGTCTTTAGATAAGCAACCTGGTTTGTCTTTAGGTATTTCCCAATCATGGTGATCTGTATTGGAATGCCATTCATTAAATTTTGGAGACATGTATGTTTTTAATGGAGAGTTTAAACTATCACAACTTTGTGAAACTGAGCTTGACCGAGAGTCAATAGTTTTATCCAGGGGTTGCATATTTTTCTCTTTAAATCGTGAACTTGTCAAATTTGGGGTAATATTTGGGGACTGACACTCTCCAATGTGACCATTGCATTCTGCTCCTTCTGATTTTCTAATTGATAAAGAAGAAAGTTTTCTTCTTAAATTACGAAAAAGACCCATTTTTTCTCTTTTTCTGTGATTAGTTGTCTCATCCGAAATCAATGTCACTGGGCCATTTTGATATAAATACACCTGTTCATTTCTAAGGCGAATCCTTGCATGATTCGATAAGTCGTTGTTTTGTACAATATCGATATCACCTAATCCAGTATAGTGCTGAGGCGAATGCGGTGTGCTGTTGTGAATATGTAAATGGTGTTGACGATTTGTTGTTGTGGTCCTTTCCTCACTCTCAGTCTCACCTTGAGGTGCACTTTCCGTGTGACGACTTAACGATGCTATTTTTATAGCCTTTGTATTTGTTTTTTTCATCGTCATATCAAACACTTATTATCAAGGAAAAACATCGCACATTTTCTTGTGACTGTCATTTGAATTATTTGTTGTGATTCTGGACACAGTTTACTATAAAAGTAATTCCTACGTTATTTACAAATGCGCATGCGCAAAAAGCAATCTCTTCCGCATTAGTCACGAGCAAAAAAAAATATATGACAATGACTATTTTAATTTTAAATATTAGCAACACCTGCAGCAGTGTCCAATTTTGACGGGTTTTTTTTCAATCTTTTTCATAATTAAATCTAAATTTTTAAAAATTTAGTTGCTAAAAATAATAATACATTCTGATTGGACTTAATAAAAAGTGGAGATATGCAAATTAATTCTACATAGACTTATTTTGATTTTAGAAAATATTTTTTGAGATTTTCCCTCTATTTAGTTGCATAACTGGGGTTTTGAAGGGGCGCTTAAGGGGAAACAAAGTAGATTTTTCCTTATATAGAAATATTAAAAATAAACTAGCGAAATTTGCTTTCGGAATAGAAAGCTGATTCTTTTTAAAAATGCTATATGTACAATTATGATTAGTAAAAAGATTTCCCCTCTTGCTTAGCAATCCATACTAATACAATATTTATTTTCGGTAGGCTGCTTCATTTGATTGTTTTTTTTTAAAAAAGCATCTCTTTATCTGTGCGCCGTCAAAACAAACACAAATTCTGACAATTTTACATTTACAATTATCATTCCCCAATTTATCATACCGTTTATTCTGTTGTTTTGTTTGTTGACGAAGGCTTTCTGCCGACACATTCGTTGTTTTGTTGCGTTTCTTTTTTTCAGGTTTAACCCTACTCTGTTTTACTCATTTTATATTGTGCTAACCCGATTGCAGTCTCTCCCCTTATTACCCTGCATTATCCCAGTCCAGTGACCACATGTACAGTGTAGTGCAGGGATCTCAAACTCGCGGCCCGCGACCATTTTCGGCCAGCAAGACGATTTTTTTGCGGCCCAATATCTGACAGTAAAGTTTAGTGTTAATATGGCCCGCGCGTTTTCCCCAGTGAGAAAAAACGCTTCTATTATTGATGATACATATATCAAAGGGTTTTAAAAGTCTGTAGGTGGTGTTATGCCCCCTATTGTGTTCAATTAATTTGAACAAGCTCGTGGTCTAGGGCAATGGTACCCAAATGGTGGTCCGTGGATCTTCACCGGTCCGCATGCCTAACGCTGCCGGTCCCCATAACATAAATATTTATTGTTACATAGAAATAAAAGTATAAAAATAAATCATGCACCGGTCCCTGGTAAAATTTTGAAACTTGTTCACCGGTCCGCCAAACTTAAAAGTTTGGGAACCACTGGTCTAGGGGATTTGAAAAGGGGGCTAACACAGGTAGATTTTAGACAAATTATTGGCTAAAATAAAGACCATCAGTGCTCTATGCAAATGTACTTTATTACATGGAATATAATGTGAACAAAGATACATAAAATCTACACATAAAGAAATGAATGCCGGTTTAACACTAACAATATCTAATTCTCGCAATAATATAAACAATTCTATCACAACTCTAAGCTCCTGGAATTACTATTTCTGCTAACTATTAAATGGCCCTATCTAATAGCAAATGCGACGGAAAGCTAGTCACGCATCGATATGCTCATATACGTCTCTCTCTAAGTGTAGGGGGATACGCCCAGTCTTATACTGATCATTTCGCGTTGCTTGACCTTAATGTAGGTGAATGTAGATGGTGGTGCCATTGTTCGGATAAAGACGTGTCGCCCTTCCTGCAAGGTTGTATGTAATCTGATACGGGTAGGTTAATGGGGTTCATAAAGCAAATGGCCCTACCTTGTAACAGTGGGTAATGCACAACCATAATTTTGTGAATCGTATCAATCTGACACAGGATCCAGGGGCTTGAAGCACCGGCTGTTCCGCGCTTTTTTTAAAAAGGAAATAGAGTCAGCATATGAGGATGCTATCTACTTCACTGAGGCACATATAGAGTCAGCATATGAGGATGCTATCTACTTCACTGAGGCACATATAGAGTCAGCATATGAGGATGCTATCTACTTCACTGAGGCACATATAGAGTCAGCATATGAGGATGCTATCTACTTCACTGAGGCACATATAGAGTCAGCATATGAGGATGCTATCTACTTCACTGAGGCACATATAGAGTCAGCATATGAGGATGCTATCTACTTCACTGAGGCCCGCTAGCCTAGTAGGGGAAACGTCTTGAAAAGGGTTTTTTGAGCTGAGAGTAGAATTCAAAGCTTTCATGGAGAAGTATGGGGTGGTTGTTCCTGTACTAAGTGATCCCAAATGGCTCATGGACTTGTTTTTTTTTGTTGACATTACACAGGAACTGAATGCACTCAGCAAGAAAATACAAGGCCTGGGGCATCTTGTCAGTATTGCCTATGACAATGTCAGGGCATTCTGCACAAAACTTGTGTTTTAGAAATTCCAGCTTTCTCATAGAAATATCTGCCATTTCCCAACATGCAAAGTACTTATAGACCCGGGCACACCATTCAGTAGTAAGTATACTACTGCAAAGCTGCAGGAAGAATTTGATCACATGTTTGCAGACTTCAAAACACACAGTGCCACTTTTCACAATTTTGGTGGTCCTTTCTCCTTCAATGGGGAAGATGCCCCACACGATTTGCTCTTCAAATGGAACCCGATTGGTCTTCAGTGCAATTCTGAACTCAGAGCTAAGTTCAGGGAGGTGAATGGTAAAACAGACAGCTTGGACAATTTATGAGAGAATTGCCATCCACCTTCCCTGAGATTTCCAGGTTGTTCAAGCGGATCATATGCTTTTTTTCCCTCTCCTCATCCTCATGTCCCTTAGTCCTTGGACCATTGGACCATTGGGGCAACACAGATGACATGTGAACCATCCTCCTCAATTCCTCTCTGTCTTCAGCACTACGCACTGCATTGCCCAGTGTTATCCTCCCACCCTTTTCTTTGTCTTCCTCTTCTTCTCCCTTCATCTTGTGGTGCCCTGCAATATTTCTTTGGCAAGCCCTTGTTTCCTTGTTACGTGGCCGTACCATTGTAATTTGCGTTTTTTCACAGTCACCAGTAGGTAATCGTACTCCCCAATTGCCAGGCGAACCCTTTCTTTCACTGTATCATTGGAGATATGGTCCCTATGGCAGATGCCCAAAATGCTTCTGAAGCATCTCATCTCCATCGCCTTCATTTTCCTTTAAAGATCGGCTGTTAATGTCCAGGATTCGCAGGCATACAGGAAAATAAAGAGGACTAATGAGCGCATCAGCCTGATTTTGGTGCTAGGGGCTATATTTTTGTCATTCCATATTTTCTTGAGCTTTTTTAGTGCTGTTGTAGTCTGCGCAATCCTGGACATCAGTTTGGGCTTGGAGCCTTCTTCTGAGACTATTGCTTCTAGGTATTTGAAGCGGCCGACAGTCTCTAATCTTTCCTCCCCTACCTTAATTTCAGTGGTGATACCTGCGGTATTATTTGTCATCAGTTTTGTCTTTTCGGCACTGACTAGCATGCCGTAGGACGATGAGGTCTTATCAAGACGCTTTACCAGGTTGGCAAGCTCTTCTTCGTTCTCAGCCAGCACGTCTATGTCGTCCGCAAAGCGTAGGTTGGTGATTGTTCTGCCACCAATGCTGACTGTCCCTTCATGCGCTTCCAGGGCATCTGACATAATTCTCTCTAGGAAGATGTTGAACAGGGTGGGGGAGAGCAGGCAGCCTTGTCGTACTCCAACCGTGTTCTTGAACCATTCTCCGATGTTGTTGTTGAGGAAGACTGCACTTTTTTTGGGGAGTACCTACAAAGTGTAAGTTCAGGGGCAAACTTACTGATGTGAATCTTCAGGCTCTACTGAGGGTCTCAGTTGCTTCCTCACTCAGGGGCCGTCCATAAAGTACGTCACGCTCCAGAGGGGGGAGGAGGTGTAAGAAAGTGTGACAGTTTGTGACAGGGGGAGGGGGGGTCAGGCCATGTGTGACGTCACACATTAATTTTTAAAAAAATATTTCTAATTTATTTATTTTTTTTAGTAGAATTTAATATCTTTAAAAATCATTTTCAAAAATTTTGTGAAACCATTTGAATTAGTTTTATGTCAAAATAGCATGAAATGCGTATGCGTTTTAGATTAAATTTTAATTAGGTGTTAATTTAAAAAACAAAATGTTCGAAAGTGTGACGTACTTTATGGGGGTGTGTCCGAGATTTGTGACAGTTTGTGACAGGGGGAGGTGGGGTAAAAATGTTCAAAAAATAGTGTGACGTGCTTTATGGACGGCCCCTCAAGCCAAATGTTAATCAGCTGTGTACGAAGAAGCGCTTCCAGGCGTCTGGCAAAAAGAAGTAGGAGGAAGTAAGTGAAGCTTAGTTCTTGAGAACCCTTAATGTTTTTTCTTTGTTGTTAATTAAGTTTCAGCAGATTGTAACAGTTGCAGTTTAATGAATTTGTAATATCTTTTTGTGGAATGCTTGATGCGGCCCAGTCTCACTCAGACTCTACCTCCTGCGGCCCCCGGATAATTTGAGTTTGAGACCCCTGTTGTTGTGGGCCCGGAATAGTTTTCAGATGTTTGTACGAACATGTTCTATGTCATGCGCATTGAATTGATGATGATAATAAGTTTAAAAATATAAGAGAAGTTTGTGCTACACAGCTTTCGGAAAATCGACATTCTTCTGTAGGCCTACAGATAATTTAGTGTGTGTGTGGGGGGGGGGGGGGATTATGGGGTTAGCCACCGGCGGCATTTGGTCAAGGTTCGCTACTGCAGTTATTGGCCCCTATTAAATCATGCGCATTGAATTGATGATGATAATAAGTTTAAAAATATAAGAGAAGTTTGTGCTACACAGCTTTCGGAAAATCGACATTCTTCTGTAGGCCTACAGATAATTTAGTGTGTGTGTGTGGGGGGGGGGGAGATTATGGAGTTAGCCACCGGCGGCATTTAGTCAAGGTTCGCTACTGCAGTTATTGGCCCCTATTAAATACAATTATAAACATCACGCTAAACTCTTAAATTAGGCCTATAATAAAACTAGCTACGGTATAGCTTGCTAAACAATGGCGGCCGCAGTGCGTGA